TAAAATATAATATGATATTTTACTTTCCTGAACATGGAAAAGAGATCCCCCTTTTCTCTTTTTATCAGAGTATATGGTGTCATAGCTATAGTAACAACTGTTCCTTAGCATTATGTTTTGAATCTATTTTTCTCTTTGCTTATGGCTTTAATTAACATTATTGTGTATGTAGTAGAGGACCTAAGCTTCTTTGGAGAAAAAAAATCTAAAAAGAGTTTAATTTAGAATTCATTTCCTATAGGTTAATGGAAAGCAATAAGTATAAACAATAAAAAATCCCTTGGACCCTATTTTATTCTTCTTCCATAGTGTAACTTTTGCCAAAAATGCTTTTATTTCTGGTCTGCTTCACTCTTCAGATAATGCATAAGATGTCACTTCAGAGAGACTTCTCTAACTAAGTATGTAGGTATGTGTTGAACCACAGTACACTGTTAATTTCTTTCAAAGGCGTGGAAATGCACGATTATTTGATGTATTGCTGTTGATTATTGGCAAGGTACCAGGATGGCAGAAGCCATGTCTGTTCCCTTCACTATCACAGAGGAGGCCAAAGGTAGATTTTCTGCCGAGATGCAGGGCCTCTAAGGGGATGGAGGAGAGTCAGACATAGGTCAGCTAGTTGCTGCCGAAGGATGAGAAGCCAGGGAGAAGTGGGCGTGTGGACGAAAGGCACAGTGCTCCTATAAAGCAGTCAAATGGCACAATGAATATTGTTGAGGTGAGGTTTGTACAAGGAACAGAGATGGGGTGGCCGAAGCATGGGACACAGAAGCAGAATGACAGAGAAGGGTGGAGGGAGGGACAAGCCCCAGATCAGCAGTTCCATAATCTATGATGAGAAGACTGAATTCGCTCAAACCACAATGTCAGCTCAGCCATTAAAAAGAAGGGAATCTTGCCATTTGCGACAACATGGGTAGACCTAGAGGGTATTATGCCAAGTGAAATAAGTCAGACAGAGAATGACAAATAGTGTATGATTTCACTTCTATGTGGAATCGAAAAAACAAAATATATAAGTAAATAAAATAGAAACAGACTCAGATAGATACAGAAAACAGGCTGACAGTTGACAGAGGGAAAAGGCTTGGGACTGGGTGAAAAAGGTGAAGGGATTAAGAAGTACAAATTGGTAGTTACAGAGTAGTCACAAAAATATAAAGTACAGCAGAGGGAATATAGTCAATGATATTGTAATAACTATGTACCAGGCCAGGTGGGTATGTGAAATATTGTGGGGACCACTTTGTAAAGTATATGATTGTGTAACCACTATGCTGTACACCTGAAACTAATCCTATATAATAAAAGGCTAATATGCAAATAGACTGAACAGCAGAATGACCAGTCGCTATGATGCTCACTGAGCACCAGGGGGAGTGCTGCTCAGCCAGAAGCCGGGCTCACAGCTGGTGAGCGCAGCAGCGGTGGCGGGAGCCTCTCCCGCCTCTGTGGCAGTGCTAAGGATGTCTGACTGACAGCTTAGGCCCGCTCCCCGCCATCAGTTGGACATCTCGCGAGGGCTCTCAGACTGTGAGAGGGTGCAGGCCAGGCTGAGGGAATGCCACCCCCCCCCCGCCGCCCAGTGCACAAATTTCATGCATCGGACCTCTAGTTGTTATATATCCCCAAACTGGGTTGACCCCTTGTAAGTGTATGACTTAGGCTGCTTACATTAAGACCCTAAGTCCTAGGTTCTCATCTCTTGGATGGAGATAATAGTATTGAATATTTAACTGAATAGTATGAATATAATATAAAACTCAGACTATAACTTTATTAAATGAAATTCAGAACTTTTTGTAAAATTAATATATCTATTGCAGTCTTTTTTTAAGTATACCATTACCCTTTCAAAAGAGAGAAAAAAAACTGAAAAAATTAACTAATGCAATTCCAAGGTGGCATATTAGTAACTTATGTAGCACTGAGGAAAACTGTCCCCTTGCCTGAGAGACAGCCTGGGCCAGTCAATCTGCAGGCGTTTTCCCATCTAACAGTCACAAGAACTGAGTGAGATGTATGACATATCTGTCTCCTTTCACAAATGAGGGTATGAGGCAGTTTATGAATTTGTCCAAGGACATCTATTTAGGAAGTGACAGAGTCAGAACTTGAACCAATAGAGCCTGGAGCCCAGTTTCCTACCTATTAAAATCCTCTTTAGTGAGAAATAATGTTTAGTAATATCATCTATACATCATATGCCCATCAAATTTTATTTATTTGGTTCTGTACTGCATTCAAATATCTGTGGTAGTAATCATGGAAGCCTGATTGTATGAACACTTTTAATAGCTTTATTAAGGTGTAATTGATACAAAATACTGAACATATTTAATGTATACAATTTGATGAGTTGGGACATGTACATGCACCATGAAAACAGAACCCTAATCAAGGTAATAAACACACCCATCCCCTCCTAGAGTTTTCTTATGCCCATACTTTTTATGGTGAAAACAATGCAAAAATAAGAATAAAAGACCAAAAGGTGAATAGCATTAAAGTATTTTTTCTTCTTTTTTAAGTATTTTTTCATACATCAAAGGCATTGTGCTACAACCACTGACAAATACGTTTACAGTCATCTGAAATAAAACATGAGTGTGCACACATATGTGTAGGAAAAACAAATGATTTAATAAAGACATAGGATGATTAAACATCTCCATTTATGCTTGCTTACGAAATGCTTTAGAGCAGGAAATACTATTCAAGTTCAAGGACTGAATGATTAAACCCACCTCAGTCTTATTTAGTCAGATGTGAAAAATACATAGTTAATTGGTAGGCAAGATCTCAATGTACCAGAATCCAATTATAGAGTCTTCAAAAATATGAGTAAAGGAAAAGTTAATGAGACATTTTTAAAGACATTACAATTTCAAGGTACTGATTTATTTTGAAAAATGGCAAGGTTAAGTTTAATTTTAATATGCTAAAATCAATTTGCTGTCTTCATTTTAGAATTTCAACTAAAAGGAATAATTCCTTATGTATATAAGAATATATATGTGAATATATATTATATATATGATTTGGTGTACTTTTAATTAAAATTTTCTTTTGTTCTCTTTTATTTTAATACTAGAGGCCTGGTGCACAAAATTTGTACAAGGGTAGGGTCCCTAGGCCTGGCTGGTGATCAGGGCTGATCTGTGGGGTGACTGGTGGTGCAATTGGGGGGCTCTGCTGGCACCTGCCTTGGCTGGCCTGGCACCAACCACTTGCTGGCCCACCCCCTGCTGTGGCCTGGTGCACGGGTGGGGACTGGCTGGTTTGCCCTGAAGGGTGTCCCAGATCAGAGTGGGGGTCCTGCTGGGGTGCCTGGCCAGCCTGGGTGAGGAGCTGAGGGCTGTTTTCAGGCTGGCCACACCCCCTTCAGGGTGGGGGTCCCCACTGGGGTGCCTGGTCAGCCTTATGAGGGGCTGAGGGCTGTTTACAGGCTGGCTAAGCCCCCCAGCGGGGACCCTCACCCCATGGGAGTGAGGCCAGCCTGGGTGAGGGGCTGATTGCTGTTTGCAGGCTGGCCACACCCCCTTCAGGGTGGGGGTCCCCACTGGGGTGCCTGGCCAGCCTGGGTGAGGGGCTGATGGCTGTTTACAGGATTGCCACACCCCCTTCAGGGTGGGGGTCCTTACTACTGTGTCTGGCCAGTCTGGGTGAGGGGCTGAGGGCCATTTTCGGGCTGGCCACGCCCCCCAGTGACCTAAGCTCCCAGCCTCTCCTTGTTTTCTTTTTTTCAGCGCCTCCTTGAGGGGAGGCCAGGGCGGGCTGGAAGCAGGTATCTGGGATTTATTTATCATCTATAATTGAAACTTTGTAGACTTGAGCGGACACAGGACTGGCCAGGGCAAGTGGGAAGCTTGGCTTCCTCCATCACCGGGGGCAACCCAAGCCTCCTGCTCGCTCCAGCTCTGTGGCCGCCACCATCTTAGTTGTGTTAATTTGCATACTTGCTCCTGATTGGCTGGTGGGGTGGCTTGTGGGTGTAGCAGAGTGGCGGAATGTTGGTCAATTTGCATGTTTCTCTTTTATTAGTGTTTGTGTGTGTGTGTGTGTATATATATATATATATATCTCCCACATTCAAAGGCTGTTAAATCACGTTGTTTAACCATATCTTCAGAAAAAAATCACTTCTACTGTTGTGGTCAACAAACTGCCTCCCTATTTATAATGGTCTGGCCCTCTAGCAACTTCAGCATGAAATTATAGCTAATTTGCCTACAAATGTCAGGTGGTCATAATAATCTGGCCAGTCAGTGTAAAAGCAAATGGAAAACTGAGAGAAATTAATTTCTTGTACGTAAATTATATGCACCAGCAAATCTTCTTTGATAATAAAAATAGGCAATCTTATACAAACACACAGCTTTACTAACTTGTAGATTAACCTTCATATTTTAAGCATTTATTTTAAAATTTTCGAACTGCTATATTCTCAGTATAGCAATATTGCTATATTGAATAAGTAATGGATCTGCATAATTGATAAGAAGTGTTTGAATTTACAAATTAATTTGCTTTTTGCTATTTTATATAGAAAGCTGTTTTTAATTTTGTGAGAAAGCTTTGAAAGTGCTAAAACTCTGTTTAGTTTATCTCTGCTTTAATTATTAGCAGGGGGAAAGGGGACCATCGAATAGTAAATGGACAATATGTGTTACACTATTACATGCATAGCATTAGATTTGTTAAAATGAATTACTCATGTCATATGCTGTCCACAATTGTATCTTCATATTTTTATTTGTATTTGTTTGGTAAAATTCAATATAAGCAATTCCTGTTTCTTTCAGGGTAATTACAAATGCATAAATTTCTCTATATTTTAGTTATGCTTAAAAGAAAATATTCAATATTGAAAAGATGCATTATTTTTTCCCCCCAAAATTTTAAATGTAAGTTTTGCTTTTGTAACTGCAAGGGAATTTCAAAAGTTAATTATGTGGGTTTTTTGTATGTCTTTTCTTAGGTCTGAAAAGATAAACATGAATTTAGAATCCATTTATCGGTTAATTGAGGAAACACAAATCTTCGGGATGCAGCAGTCAGCAGTTAAACCACCTCCCGACATGGGAGCACCAGTCTCGGTCCCCAGGGACACCTGTAATTCCTGTTGGCCACTTAATGGGCTACAGTCTCATGCTGCCCACAGCTTCTGTGCTCACGCGTGCAACACCAATGAATGGGATATTTGTGAAGAGCTGCGCCTGCGGGAACTTGAAGAAGTCAAGGCCAGAGCTGCTCAGATGGAGAAGACCATGCGGTGGTGGTCAGACTGCACAGCCAACTGGAGGGAAAAGTGGAGTAAAGTTCGAGCTGAGAGGAACAGTGCCAGGGAGGAAGGAAGACAACTCAGAATGAAATTAGAGATGACAGTGAAAGAATTGAGTGCACTGAAAAAGAAGCAAAGTCCGCCACATCAAAAGGAGACCTTGGAAGCTAGAGTTGCCCTGAACCAGACGCGTCCTAGTTTCATAGATGTGTCCTATGTACAAAGGGATCAATTTCAAACTGGCTCGCAAATGTGTGAGTCTATCAGAGAGTGTCTGGTGAAAAGAGAATTTCCCACAAAGGAGAACAGAAATACTATGGTAAGCAAGTAAAGACGGGAATCCAGAGTCTACGGACATATTAGAATGCCTAAGACAGTGATGGGAGGAAGGGGAAATCACAGATCCAGGGGGGACTATATTTGTTTTCCATAACTCAGTGCTGCACACTGGGTGACTTCAGTGACAGAAAGTTCTAGAGGCCAGAAGTCTGAGATCTGAGTTGGTTTCTTGTGAGGCCTCTCTCCTTGGCTTATAGATGGCCTTCTTTTCCCTGTACCTCTACATCGTCTTTTCTCTGTACGTGTCTGTATCCAAGGTTCCTCTTCCTATAGGCGTGCCATCATTAGGTCCACCCCAATCACCTCCTTTAAAAATAATCACCTCTTTAAAGACCCTGGCCCCAAATACAGTCACATTCTCAGGTACTATGGGTTAGGACTTCGGCATATGAATCTGAGGGGATACATTCAGACTATAATAGTGACCATACAATTTTTTTTTTAGCAAAAATGTATTCAGCGTTTTTTTTTTTATGTGAAAAGGAAATCTTTAGAGAGACTTCTCTCCATTTATCCTTGCTATGTCAATAATATTATAAATTATTCATACAGTAGTTTGAACTTTCCCAAGGTTTGGAATTCTGCCCTCATAATTAATTCCTGTAAAATGGGTACCATAGGCCAATACCTTTAGGGAATGCCTCATACCCATTCTTGGAATTTCTTGGTATACTTACACTCTTGAAGTTCCTAAAAATTCTGCTTGAAATATAGTTTTTAAAACCTTTTTTAAAAATCTAGCTGTTCATACCCATATTTATCTATGAACCACTCCTCCCCCACCCTTTGTTAAAACTGGTAATTACTAGTAGCAACCCATGAAACATATTTCAGGAAACTTTAGGAATTCATGTTATCTCTTTTCATACAATCAGCTTATCCTATCTAATAAAAGAGTAATATGCCCACAGCCAATAAGGAGGGAATATGCAAATTGATGCAACAAAGATAGCAGCGCTGGCCTGAGCCATAAAGCTGGCAGGAGTGGCTGGGAGGCTTGGCTTCCTTGGTCACCCCAGCTGGCTCCGTGGCTGCCACCCAGACAAAGCCATAGTGGCAGGGCCAAGGCAGAGGTGGTTAGGGGCTATCAGGCCAGGAGGGGAGGGCAGTTGGGGATGAGCAGGCCAGCAGGGGAGTGCAGTTGGGGGTGAGCAGGCTGACAGGCAGAGTGGTTAGGGATGATCAGGCAGGCTGGCAGGTGAGTGGTTAGGAGCCAGCGGTCCTGGAGAGTGGTTAGGGATGATCAGGCAGGCAGGCAGGCAGGTGAGTGGTTAGGAGCCAGCGGTCCCGGATTGCAAGGGGGATGTCCCAGATTGGAGAGGGTGCAAGCTGAGCTGAGGGACATCCCCCCACTCATGCACAAATTTCGTGCACTGGGCCACTAGTATTATATTTTTTTCTATGTAATTCCATTTCTAAAATCATAAAATTGCTCTTCTATAATTCCATCTAAAATTTTAAGCCTTTTCATGATATACGTAAATTATGGTAAATATAAATTTCATTGTAAATGAAAAAGGTTAAAAAATTCTAATTACTTATGTTTATTCAATCTTCCAGATTTGTTTTAAATATAAATTTTTTAAACTCGATAATCTAAGCTATTAGTCTTGTTGTGTATATCTTTGGAAAAATGTTATATATTCTCAAAATTCAACTCTATTAATGTATGTATTTGAATATAGTGATGGAAACTAGGGAATATAGCTCACTTAAATTGTTCTGAATGTACAAATATTTATTATTACAAGTAATAGACACCACATTTGATAATGTGAAAGATTCTCTTCACATATGTTTTACTGAGAAATGTTCAATATCTTGGGACTTCATTTGGAATATTTTTGTATCATTAGTACCAAGAACATCATACATAGTAGATCTTTATTAAAAGTTTATTTATTTAGGGAAAAGGATAGTTAAAATTCTTTGTGATGGTAGTGAAATAAGTTGAAGTTTTAATTAGCTGTTTTTATTTCGATCAGTTTTCTTGCTAACTCTAAAGATACTTACGTATGAATGGATTGTCTTACCATGGTATTTTCCAAGAAGAACAACACGTCTTATTTTATTGTTTTTCAAAATGAGACATAATAACCATTAATTGTTGAGAGAATGAAGAGATGAGTCATGCTAGTAACCTAACATTTAAAAATAAATACTAAAATAAATACTGACTGGTGTGATTCAGTGGTTGAACATCGACCTATAAACTAGAGGTCATGGTTCGATTCCCGGTCAGGACACAAGCTCAGGTTGCGGGCTCAATTCCTAGACTGGGGTGTGCAGTAGGCAGCCAATCTGAAATTAATAAAAATATTTTTAAAATAAGTAAATACCTAAATACTAAAAATGAAGTGTCATTAATATTTTATTTGAACTTGTCTATTAATTAAGATTTTATTTGAACTTTTCTTTATCTCATTTTAAACCCACAAATCAGGGCAAATTTAAATTATAGACAGATATCTATAGCATGAGTTTGGCCAAGTTTTGGAATTATGATGTAATATTTTGAGGCAGTGTACTGCTCTGATAAATGATGCTTATGTATATTAAAATGTCCCATTAAACTCTATTTGAGCTTTAACTAGTGACCTAAATAATATTTCAATAAACAAGCCTATTAAAAGATTCAAGAATTTCCTGAAAATTCTTTCTTCTCTGCCCTGCAAAGATGTTAAAAAGTAATCAGCTGGCTTTCCTTTGAAACTCTCAAGTGCCTTGTGACAAAATAAACTTTAAAGAGAAATTCATAAACTCATTAAATAACTCTTTACAGCTTTTCAAGTTCATGCTTGGCTATTTTTAGCTATGATTAGAAAAAGAAAACTCAAACTAAAAGTTAAAGCAGACTTTTTGAGAAATGTATTTGATTATAATAAGGTAGAACATAGAAAGAAAGAAAGATGCTTGAAGAACGCAAGTTAATGTTTGGCCATATAACACTATTAGAGAATGATTAAAAAATGAAAATATACATAACACATAGACTCAGAGAATAGTGTGGTGATAGCCAGAGGGAAAGGGGGTGAGGGGTAAACGGGGGTGGGCAAAGGGGGAGGGGAAGGGGATGGAAAGAGACTTTGCTTTGGGCGATGGGCACATGATGTAGTGTGCAGATGTTTTGTTGAGTTGTACACTTGGAACCTGTATGGTTTTGCAAACCAATGTTACCCCAACAAATCCAATTTTAAAAAGTGAAAATATGAGTTTGATGGTGAATTGTAACATTTATTTCCTTCCAAAAGTATGGAAATATTCTGCATGATTTTCCTACTGAGAGATTTAAAAATTCAACAGTAATAACTTTTATGTTTTTTCCTTTTAGGAAGAAGGTTTGATTCTCGACCCATTAAGATTAAATGAGGAGAAACTCCATCTAGACTGCTCTGATTTATTCGAGAACAGTGGTTCCGGAAACTGTGCAATGAGACCTGGGCTACGACAGCCAGTGGGACACCTGCCTTTGGAGGATGGAGTGCCTGACATTTCCACTCTGCAGGAGCATTTGGATGAGCTCCAAAAAATCCTTAGGAAAGAAAGGGAGTAAGTATGACAATGATCAGTACAATTGTCGTCTCCCTTAACCAAGTCTGTTTTTCAACTTTCTTAAAACTAAGCAAACTGGCCATTTGATAATGCCTTTTACCCATGATCAGTCATTATGTTCTAATATTTAAAAGATGAGTTTTCTATGCTACATTAATTTTTTTAAATTTTGAAGAGTAATTTATAATTTATTAGTTTTTATTCTTTCATCATAACCTTGTACTCATCAGCTCTGGTAGATTTACCTTATTAATATTTGAATTATTAATGTATATGGTTAAAATAGCCAGTATATTATCAATACACTGAGTCAGTTTGTCCCTTATATTAATAAAATACAAATTACGATTTTGTGAGCGATTAATCACAGAATAAGATGCCTTACTCGTAGACCATTTTTGGTATAGAGGAAAGAGCACTAGAATTGAGATTCAATGATCTGGGTATTCATCTTAGTTCTGATATATTTTGTTCTTTCATATTTACTTAGCCAGTAGATACTATTTTGTCCTTGGGAAAACTATGCATAATGATGCTTATATTCCAGTTTTCTATTGTTTAGTAACAGAACTTCCCAAACAACAGTTACTGAAACAACAATCACCGTGTGTCTATTCATGGGTCCGGAGCACACTTTCCTGTGTGTAGCATCAGATGGGAGAGCTCCAGGGCTGGGGGCTGAAGCCATCTGAAGCCTCACTCACTCTGAAATGTGGCTGATCTTAGTTCTCACCTCGGGCCTCGTGGTAACACCTGCATGTGGCCTGTCTTATCCATATGGCTTCTTGGCTTCTTCACTGCATAGGGCTAGGTTGCAAGTGAACATCTTGCAGTGGTTCTCAACCTTCTGGCCCTTTAAATACAGTTCCTCATGTTGTGACCCAACCATAAAATTATTTTCGTTGCTACTTCATAACTGTAATGTTGCTACTGTTATGAATCGTAATGTAAATATCTGATATGCAGGATGGTCTTAGGCGACCCCTGTGAAAGGGTCGTTCGACCGCCAAAGGGGTCGCGACCCACAGGTTGAGAACCGCTGTCTTAGAGGCTCAGTGAGAACTATATAGTGTTTTAATGACCTTGCCTCAAAAGTCACTTAACATCACTTCATCATACTTACTGGTGGAGACAGTCTCACAGGCTGACGAGTTCAAGGAAGAGGAGTTCCCTCAATGGGTGGAGGGCATAAGTCCAGTTATGACAAGAGCATGTAGGATTCTATCATTGTGGCCGCCATCTTTGGAAAATGCAATTTGCCATTTGCCTTACTCACTGAATTCTTAAGGATCAAACACAAATAAAGTCTGGGAAACTGACCACTATTATGAATTACTCCATATGCTTATATTGTTCATATTTGAAGGGAATATTTATAGAATATTTGATGCATGTTAAGATGTGGTTCCCAAATTTAAAAACATTTTCCCATCTCTTTAGTTATAACTCTTTTTTTGTTATAACTCTTAATAAGCAAAATTTTAAAAAGCTGGGAAATATATATATGTATATATATACACATATATGTGAATATAATTATTATATGATGGTTTCAGTTTCCATGGTTTAAATTAATTGAAATAGTAATAAATATACACACAAACCTTTCACAAATACTGTATAGTATTTTATCTGTCATTTCTTTTCTATCTATGATAAGTTTCTTATTAGTCCCTCTGATATTTATATTACCACTAACTTCTTTAGATTCTTGGTCTCTACTTCACTACACGAATAGATTGTGATAATACAAGCATCTGTTTATAGAATAAGTATTTATTATTCTACAGTTAACTGTACATTTCTAATAGAGGCAATCAACTTGAGTAGAAAAGTAAATAAAATTGAAGTAATTTTTAGACTGTAGGTCTCCATCAAGTTCTAAACTCTGTGTTTTATTTCTTGAAGGATTTAACTTTCTAGGGGTTATAGACTTCTCTCAAACCCACATACAACGGTACTTCACTGCCATAATGGGAGCATGAAACTGTATTTCCTTGAGGTAAACTTCCTAAGATGCAGCTTTGATGATACCCATGTGTATCTTTACTCTCTCACATGAACATATATATTTGACTTCCTTGGAATAAATGAACTACCTCCATAAAAGTAAATTCTCCAGTTCTCAGCAACTCCAATATAAAAACCCTATACAGGGCAAAGAATAAGGGGGAAGGAGCCCTCAGTATCCAGTTTGTCTTCTCACTCTCCTCTTTACGGAACCCTCCCATGGGTGTTGTGTCTATGAATCATCATTAGCTCGCAATCCACAGGAGGCCATTGCAAAGACTTTTCTCTGTCAGGAGAATGTTTCCCAAGGATATAGCATATACTGCTGCTATAAATCTGTCTAGTATTTTAAATTCCTCCCCCTGGAATATCAGCAAGTGGGTGGCTGGCGTTGAGAAGATGTGAACATGGTTTTTTCTGTGTTCCCAGCTGGTGGGAAAATTCTCCAGACTGGAGCACAGGCATCAGTGGGAGGATTGTGGGAATCATTCCCACTGTTATCACTGACGAGGAACTCCTCCTTGAACACGCTCAATTTCATCACATTATTGTACTCATAGTACTGTTCAGTTTTCTGTGCAATTATCCAGTATCTGAGATTTGCCAAAAGCCTGTGCTTTTGGTGTTGAATTAAGAAAATCATTGCCAAGACCAATTCCAGGAGCTTTTCCCTATGTTTTCTACCAGGAATTTTATAGCTTTAGGTCTAATATCTAAGTCTTTAATTCATTTGAGTTGATTTTTGTGTACTTTTGCCATTTGTCATTTCCCAGGATCTATTTTGTGCTTAGGTGGTTGTCCACCTAACGAGACAGAGTCCATTTTTCTGAATAGTCTACAAAAAAGGCTAGAAAGTTTCTATCTCAGTCTGTCTGCCAATTAGGGTGCAGACATTTGACCTGGGAGCAGGTATTCAAAGGTAGCTGCCTGTCTTCTTAGCAAAAGCTGATGCTCCAAGGAAGAAAGCACCCGATTCCCTCCTGGTGAGGAGGAAGGCAGTGGTGGTGGCTACATCTTATTTCCCAAGGAGTAGTGGCCTCTGGTCTCTGTTGACACCATCCTGTGTGCCCAGCAGTTGATACTGAGGTCATGCTGTGCTCTCTGTACTTTACTGGGGGCCTTCGTGGGTGTGGATGAGAAGATTTCAATAGCTGTTTGCTATTTCTCACTTCATGGGATCCCCATTTCCTTCTCTGACTCTTTTAGAGATTCTTTGAACTATTAATATTCTTTTCCTGCTTAAATTGGCTAATCCTATATAATACAAGGCTAATATGCAAATCGACTGAACGGCAGAACGACCAGTCACTATGATGCTCACTGACCACGAGGGGCCAGATGCTCAATGCAGGAGCTGCCCCCTGGTGGTCAGTGCGTTCCCACAAGGGGAGCGCCACTCACCCAGAAGCCCTGAGCCCGCTTACAGCTGGCAAGTGCAGCGGCGGTGGAGGGAACCTCTTCTGCCTCTGCAGCAGTGCTAAGTATGTCCAACTGATGGCTTAGGCCTGCGCCTGCTGTCAGCCGGACATCCCCTGAGGGCTCCTGGACTGTGAAAAAGCGCGCAGGCTGGGCTGAGGGATGCCCCCCGCCTCCAGAGTGCACGAATTTTGTGCACCAGGCTTGTAGTATGAATATATATGCTCATCAGACACACTTAATTGATACCAGGAAAGAGTACTGGCAAGAGGCAGGGAAGGTGACAGGCAAGTGGGGAAAGTACTGGCAAGAGGCAGGGAAGGCATGGAGTTTTCCAAGGACCAGTTTGGTGGCATGAGAGTGGATTATGTTCGTGGAGGCATCACCTCCAGCTTCGGTATCTGGTCCTCCCAATGTCTCTGAGAGCTTTACAATATTTTTTAAATATCTATTTTCTAATTAAATGAACTATATATGGCTTTGTATATTTGCTGAAAGGTGCTGACAATGAAAGATACTGAAAGGTATAACTATAAGTAGTTGGGAATGCAATCAGGAAATGAAAGTATATGTATAAAATTTTTTATTATTCATTGTTTAATACTTAGCTTAAATTTTGGACTAATAGAAAAGTGGATATCTAAATGTCATTGAAAGTTAATTATTTTTGTCTGATACAAACATTTGACATTAATAGGCCTTTAAGAAAATACTGATTTGATATTTTACAATAAATTATCACAAAGTTTATAAATGATTAATATTTATTTTAAAGATATTAATGTTTCAGGAATTTTCATCTCTGAAAAGTATTTTATTTAATCTTTCTGTTTAGATGTCTGAATGTTATGCCCAATTATTATGGGATCATGATAGTTTACAAAGTACCAAAAGGTTGCATAGAAATATAATAGTTTTCCATAAATATTATTTTGGTTTACCTTTAATCTTTTGTATTCTGGAAATTGTATACATTTTAACAATCTTATTTTTAAAAGTTTATATCATCATATTAAATACTATATTTTTGCTGAGTTCATCTTAATTTAATATTTTTTAAGAATTTGTGCATAAAATATGCAGTATTTTTAATGTAAAGTTATATATTTTTTCTTTTCCTTCTTATAGTTCAAGTAGTATGATAGCTTAAACTTAACTATGTGAGTGATCAATTATGAAAATCTTTATAAAATATAGAGTACATTGATTAGGCCAGAAAATGAAGAATTAAAGAGCACCCTCTGCTATATAAAGTTAAGTATGCAATGTCCTTAATGCTTGCTTGCAGAAATAGTCACAAACCTTTTGATGAGGCTACCCTAAAAATATTCAAGTATCACATTGCCATTCATTTTTATGAATTACCTGTCCTGTCATATCTTTGACTAAATTTTACCTTTTTACACAATAAAAATACAAAATTTTCATGTAAACAATTATTAGTTATTTTTTATATATATATACTGAGGAATAAATACACTATATTTAAGTACAGTAAAACTTCCATACAGAATAATTCAGGCCAGTGACTGTCTATTAAAGCTGAAAGTCCATTATGTAATAAAGCAAGTTTTCCAAATATCTATGTTAAAAAATTGACAAATTAGTTAACCTTTTTTCTACTTATGTAGACACGTTTGTGTAATTAAAATTATGCATGAAAAGTTTAATTTTACAGAAAAGTTTTCTATCTGTATTACTGTATGATTTTGAACTTGTAAATTTAAAAATCTAGATTTTCCTCCAATTATCAAGACCAGTTTTTAATTATTCTATTTATGAGTAAAATAATTCTGAAAATTATTTTAAGGAGAAAGTTTATTAATGTATTCATAAATACACAAATACAATTAATATCCTTTAATAAAAATTGTTAATGTTATATATATACTTATTTCTTTAAACATTTTAAAATTCTGTAGGAAAAAAACATTCCCATGTTATATTCTTGTTGCTCCAATAAATTAAAATACAGGAGAAAGCAGACAGAAAGTCAATTATTTCAATACTGGCAAAGCTATATGAAATATATCTAACCAACTGTAAAGCTAATTGACAGAATAATAAATTAGAGTTTATTCAATGTTTATAATTTTTTCATAAATTTAAAAAGGTTTCCTGTAATTACTATGGTCATATATAAGGTAAATATAAAAAAAATAGAAAAAGAGCACATCTAATTTTGAATGCATTACTAAAATTATTTTTAAATTGTAAGCCTGTTTTGCTTTTAATTATTTAGAATGCGCTCATCCCTGGAAAAAGAAGTAGAACAACTGGAGTCAGCTGTGTCTTTGTGGAAACAGAAGTATGAAGAACTGAAAGAATCGACATCCAAAAATAGGAAAGAGGTATGGAGACTTAGGATGTAAAGGAAGAAATGAAACTGGGGGTTCTCTCTGGTCCATGTATAACCTAGGGGGCCAGAAGCCTCTATAAACAAAGGAAAAAAGGTTAAAAGTGGAATTTCCTCTATAAGAGGAATGTTGGAACTCACATATCCCTGGTGGACTGGTCAAACTCAGGTCATAAGAAGTCTTGTTCTAAATAACACACACACACACACACACACACACACACACACACACACACACACACACTTACAGAGGGAGGAAGGGAGAGAGAGTATATATATACACACACACACACACATACACTCACATATAACCACATGTCTGCTGACAGCTGTTTGAAGAGCATCTAATTCAGTGATGTAATTGTGCCTTAATTAAAAGCACTCTTCATTAGTTGTTAAAAAAGCAATATTCCTCTTTATGAAATTCCCCATGAATGTTGTTTCAGGTCTGTTTCCAGCAAGTGGTAAAGTTTAGAGTCATTAACATAAGTTCGCAAATCCACACTATGGGATGTTCAGGAACCTTAGGTGGCAGAATAAGCCTTACTTCTTGTAAGACGCAGGCACCCTGTTGGCCAGAAGGCACGGTAACCTCTGTGCAGAGGTTCAGAAATAAGTCAGCTCTGTCACCCTGAGAACCACTGAGATTAGAAAGGAGGGAGAACTTTTCCTAATATTCTTAACAAATGTTGCCTGCTTGAAAATCATCTACTAGTACAAGGAAAAATAATTTCATTGGGAACTACAGAAAGTTAATTTGAGAACATTTCTCAATGAGGGGTAAATTAAATCATTAAAGCTAACCAGCTATTTTTAGCTTTTTTCTCCCTAATGGATGTATGTTAGATCGCCAAAGTAGCTTTGTTTCTAGCTTAAACTCTGGATACACACACACACACACACACACACACACACACACACACGCACACATGCATTTATATATGGACACACAGGTAGCTAACTAATCATGATGTCTCTGGGTGTGAACATTGACAGTAAATTAGTTTTATCCAGGAGAAATAGTTTGCCCACAAAAATCATCTTATTCTTAGAGTGTATGTGTATTTGTTCTATAATATAATGGGCTCTAAATTTAATTGAGAAAGCTAATATTTAAGATAGACTTGGTCTTTAATTTTAAAAGAAACATGCATTTACTGTATGTTGCCACTAGTGGGAAGTGCAGACTTGATAATGTTAGTCTCCTAACTACTTCTTTTTAAACAAGTAACAACATTTATATAGCAACTGTTTTTGAAAAAAGTCATGGTTTTGAGTTGGCTTACAAAGTGATATGTATGTTTTTAAATGCTTAACTTTTTTTCTAATTAAAGATGATATTTTTGGCATCAAGTGGGAAAATGTATATTTGAATTGTTTAACAAAACTTCATAGATGAGAAAAAAAATAAAACCAATGTAGCATTTTACAGATAAATTGGGTTTATATTTTGATGCCCAAATTAATACATACGTGATCTTTTTACCAGGTAAAATGAGACAGGGTTGTTGTAACAGAAAACAATAAAAACACCCTCAAAATTGCCTTGGAGACTTCGTTGAACTATTTAAACATTTGGGTGCATGTTTTAGACAGATGAACTATGAATCTGAGCAATGAATGAATGTGACAATGAATGAAAAATGTTTTTATTGTAGATGATAAAAAGTTAATTTAAACAGACATAAAGAAAAAAATTGTTTGAATTATTTATGTGGGTATTATTTTTTTAAAATTAAATCTTTATTGTTCAGATTATTACAGTTGTTCCTCTTTTTCCCCCCTATAGCTCCCCTCCACCCGGTTCTCACCCCACCCTCTGCTCTTACCCCTCCCCCCCCACTGTCCTCATCCATAGGTGTACGATTTTTGTCCAGTCTCTTCCCGCACCCCCCACACCCCTTTCCATCCACCGAGAATAGTCAGTCCACTCCCTTTCTATGCCCCTGATTCTATTATACTCACCGGTTTATTCTGTTCATCAGATTATTTATTCATTTGATTTTTAGATTCACTTGTTGATAGATGTGTATTTGTTGCTCATAATTTATATCTTTACCTTTTTCTTCTTCTTCCTCTTCTTAAAGGATACTTTTCAGCATTTCATATAATAATGGTTTGGTGGTGATGAATTCCTTTAGCTTTTTCTTATCTGTGAAGCTCTTTATCTGACCTTCAATTCTGAATGATAGCTTTGCTGGGTAAAGTAATCTTGGTTGTAGGTTCTTGGCATTCATCACTTTGAATATTTCTTGCCACTCCCTTCTGGCCTGCATAGTTTCTGTTGAGAAATCAGCTGACAGTCATATGGGTACTCCCTTGTAGGTAACTGACTGTTTTTCTCTTGCTGCTTTTAAGAGTCTCTCTTTGTCTTTTGCTCTTGGCATTTTAATGATGATGTGTCTTGGTGTGGTCCTCTTTGGATTCCTTTTGTTTGGGGTTCTCTGCACTTCCTGGACTTGTAAGTCTATTTCTTTCACCAGGTAGGGGAAGTTTTCTGTCATTATTTCTTCAAATAGGTTTTCAATATCTTGCTCTCTCTCTTCTTCTGGCACCCCCATAATTCGGATGTTGGTACGCTTGAAGTTGTCCCAGTGGCTCCTTACACTAACTTCATATTTTTGGATTCTTTTTTATTTTTGTTTTTCCGGTTGGGTGTTTTTTGCTTCTTCGTATTTCAAATCTTTGACTTGATTCTTGCGATCCTCTAGTCTGCTGTTGGAACTCTGTATAATATTGTTTATTTTAGTCAGTGTATGCTTAATTTCTAGTTCGTCCTTTTTCATAACCTCAAGGGTCTCACTAGATTTCTTGAGGGTCTCAATAAATTTATCAGCGGTTTCTAGAAAATTCTTGAAAAACCTTAAAAGTGTGGTTTTGAACACTTTATCCAGTAGTTTGCTTTGCTCCATTTCTGCCATTTGTGACCTGTTTCTTTATCTCTGCATTTTGGCTGCTTCCCTGTGTTGGTAGAGTGGCTTTGTGTGCTAGGTGTCCTATAGAGCCCAGTGGCTCAGTCTCCCCAATTACCTGAGGAGGAAACTCTTGGTGCACCCCTTTGTAGGCTTTGTGCACAGTCTTGTTGTAGTTAAGCCTTGATTGTTGTAGGTATCACTGGGAGGAATTGACCTCCAGGCCAATTGGCTGTGAGAATCAGCTGTGTCTGAAGTGGGAGAACTTCTGTGCTGGAGACACCCTTCTGGGGCAAGACTTGCTTCAGTGGGGCTTTGGTGCTCACTGAGTCTTCCCCCTGAGTGTGTCCCTTATGGATCTGAGGAGTTGTAATCTGAATGGTCCCACTCTGACCACTTGGTACACTGGCTCTTGGATTTCTAAGGACGTGCTAATTTAGCCTCTGCCTGAGGCTGCCCAACAGGAGCTATGGAGAGATCTGCACATTCCTCTTCTTTGTTTGGGGTTTGGAGGTGCCCAGATGAGGCCCAGCTGTGAAGCAATGCAAGCTGCTGTGGGGCCTTGGGCCTTCTTTTAGAAGTTCTGGGTCTCTCTGACCCAGCTGCAGTTTGTTAGGTAATTTTCAGATTGCAAAAGGCCAGGCCTTTCATATGCAAAAGCCTCTGTGCACAGCTTGGGTGGGGCGGGGTCTCAGGGGATCAACAGGGCAGAGAAAACAGCTATGGCTGCTCCTCAGTCCTACCCTAAGAGGCCCCACGTCTCAGTGTCCCGGTAATCCCTGCAAGCACCTTTGAGAGAAAGCCGCCCTCAAGTTCCGACAGTCCAGTTTCTCCCTGTGTGAGTCTGGGTCCCCAGAGACTCGTCCAGAACTGGAGTTCAGAGCAGTCGGGAGCTTGAGACTCCCTCCCAATTGAAAAAGACAACCGTGTCCTCAGTTGCCAGCCCTTTCCACATACGCCTCCATACCTCTGCACTTTACTTCCGCACCTCCTCTGAGTCTCAGTGTGCTTTTCTCTTTCCTTCTAGTTGTAGAATTTCCACTCAGCCAGCCTTCCTGTGGTTCTGGATGATGTCTGTTTTGTCTTTTAGTTGTATTTTTGAAGTGGTTGTGCGAGACAGCAATTTCCGGTGTTTACTGTGCCGCCATCTTGGTTTCTCCCTGGGTATTATTTTTAAAACTATCCCTTTCCACTTCCTAAAAAGGAACTTGTGCTATTCTTAGGCCCTTTGTAAAGAGATGTGGTCTGCACATATATTTAAATTATTTTTGTAAAATATTATACCTTTTTTAAAAACTTTAAAATTGGAATAAATAAAAATATTTAGTCACACATTATTGTTCATATATACTTTGTTTAATCTATAATAATAAAAGTATAATATTCTAATTAGACCGGACAGCTGAATGACCTTCCATATGTCCTTCCGGACCACCTTCCAGATGAAGCCAGGGCTCTGAGAGCCGAGTCCCTGGCATGAATTTTGTGCACTGGGCCTCTAGTTGTTTTATAATAGATGATAACAGAACAAGATTTTTATGGTACATTTAGAAATAGCATTTTAAAGTAATTATAATTGTGAAATATTCAAAGTTCTTGTACAGTTGACTTATCATTAAAAATTGTGTCATGATACATCCTTTGTATCATACTTCATATGAATTCTCCTTACTTAACTACATTTCTCAAAAATTTTGAAAATATCCTTTGCTTTCACTGTAGCTCTTCATCTACTGTACAAAAACATTTGAATACAGTGTAATTCTTTTTTAGATACTAAAACTGTTAGAAGCAACAGCATGCCTGGCTAGGAACTGCTGATGGAAAGATTAATTTTTAGGAGTTGGAAACCGATGTGTTTAATAGACCAAGATTTTTAAAATGTATTTGAAAGTCTGGTATGCTTCAGAGGGAAGTTATTCTTAAATCACTGACATGTAGAAAAGAGTAAATATAGGAACTTAATTGTAAAATCTAATAAGTATTTAAAATGCAACTCAGACAATGAGTAGCAGAGATGATTACATTGAAAATGATATTCCCATGCTGACTTTAATACTTATTTTGCTTTTTCTTTGCAAGT